ATCATGCTATGTCCTTAATGAACAGCAGAAATTGAGCAGCAGGGTCTCTGCTGCTGGAGACAGTAAACGCGCAGCAGCCGCAGCAGAACACCCTTGTGTGCTCTGTTGCTGCTGCTGCTGTTGCTGCTACTTTTGCTGCTGCTGCTGCTGCTGCTTGTGAATCCCGTGCTGTTGGTGCAGTATTATTTGCTTCTACAGTGTTGCAGCTGCTCCTGGATCTTCAGTTGCTGCAGTCTGTACAGGTTTCGACCATGCACAATCTGCTGCTGCTGCTGCTGCTGCTGTTGCTGCTGCTCCTGCTGCAGTGGTTGATTGAAGAGTAAAGATATTTCTTACAAGTATTTGGCGAGGCCTCTGAAAAGCAAAGAGACTCCGAAGAAGCAAGAAGTAGGGGCACCCTAACCATCATCAGTTCTTCTTGACGGGGGCCCCCCTGCATCGAAGAAAGAATAGGTCTGGGGGCCCCTGGGGGCCCCCCTTCTCCTTCATTATATTCAATTGCATAATAAAGGTTTGATGCTGAGGCTTCTTTAGCTGTGCATGCAGCAGTGGGGTGTACGTACACCGCAGTGTTACGAACTATACGCAGGGGTATATTTACAGGTTCAAGCTCCTGCTGCTGCTGCTGCTGCTGTTGCTGCTGCTGCTGCTGCTGCTGCTGCTGTTGTTGTTGCTGGTGTTGCTGGTGTTTAGGGGGGTATGCGGGGGCCCCCTGTACCCCGCTAGTTGCTTCTGCTGCTTGCTCAAGGGCCTCTTTACGCGTTTTTGCTGCAGCAAATGCAGCAGCAAGCAGCGGCAGCAGCTGGGGATCACGAAAGTGCTGAGCAAATGTCCAGGTGTATCGGCACCAGGGACGGCCTGCTGCTGCTGCTGTGTCTCCCTTCTGTCTCCTCCTGCTGGTAGTGCTGCTGCTGGTGCTGCAGCTGCTGATGCAGTTGCTGCTGCTGCAGTTGCTGCTCCCATCGGTATCCGTATGCGCCCGCTTCCAGCGTGGGGGGCCCTCCGAGTGTGATGGTGCTGCTGCTGCTGCTGCTGCTGTAGCTGCTGCAGCAGGGGCCCCCGAATCCCTATCAAGGCAGCAGCCCTCACGGTAGCTGTCTCCAGGGGGCCCCCCGTTGCTGGAAGCGCATGAAGGGGGCCCCTCGCTGCAAGCAAGAGCAGCAGCTGCTCCTTTTGCTGCAGCTGCTTCCACCATTGGTGCAGCAGCAGCAGCAGCAGCAGCAGTGGCTGCTGCAGCTGCTGCTGCTCCTTCGTAAGCTGCTAGGCATTCCCTTGCTGCAGGGGCCCCACAGATGCTTGGGGGGACCCCTGTAGACCCTAAAGACTTTTCAATGCTTGTTGTTTGCTCGCTGTCAATATTAGAAGGGGGGCCCCCCAGCGTGTAGGGGGGGCAGGGGCCCTGCTGCATATAGCGAGAGGAGGGGGCCCCCACCATTGCTGCTGCAGCAGATGAAGAAGAAAGAGGATCTAGTAAAGTTGCTGCTATACCATTGGGGGCCCCTATACTTCCTGGGGGCCCCTCTGTTGCAGACATTTAAAAGAAAAAGAGACGGCGATAGATAGAGGGTTTTCAAGTGCAATAGGGGGCCCCCTAATCTGTTTAGAGAAGTCAAGGAACCCACCCCATTGAACAGCAAACCCTAAACCCTAAACCCTAAACCCTAAACCCTATGGGGGGCATCATTCTGTAGCTGCAGGCTGGTTGATATATATATAAGCAGCAGCAGCCCTCTGTTTTATCGTCGGCTGTCAAGAATAATTAATTATAAACGATGAATAATATATTACTTTTATTAAGAAGAAAAAGACAAAGAAAGAAGACAGATAGCACCTGTGTTGGGGGCCCCCAGTAACACCATTGGTGAAGGGGGTTGTTAGATGATTTTATAAGAGTTTCTGAGTCTTATTTTATCGCTTTTTTGCGTTTTTTCAATGTTATTTTGTTATTTCATTGATTTAATATACTTTTATTCTTTTATTTCAATGTTTTTTGAGCTATTTACACAAAAAACTGCAGATTTACCTCGGGAAACACACCCTAACCACTGGTTCGGAGCAGCTGCTCTTTAGGGGGCCCCCAATGTATATAAGGGGGCCCCCTGCAATATTTCTGCTGTCTATACAGTCTATTAGGGTTTTAAAATCAAATTAATTTCTTTTAAGGGACAAATGCAATGTTCAGGTGTACGTACACCTCCTCAGTGAGAGCCACAACCGTCTTCGTAGTTCGCACACAAAAACCCTAAACCCTAAACCCTAAACCCTAAACCCTAAACCCGAAACCCTAAAATCTTAAACCCTAAACCCTTAACAGTAAGCAAGACGTCCTACACCCTAGGCCCTCCACCCTAAGCAGTAAACCGTAAACCGTAAACCCTAAACCCTGAACAGTAAGCAGTAAACCCTAAACCCTAAACTCTAAACAGTAAACCCTAAACCTTAAACCTTAAACGGCGAACTCTTGGCATCTGTGATTAACCCCGCTTCACACCGCATGCAGATATTTCTTTTCTATATTTTAGGGGGGCCCCCCACGTCGGCATGCATACATCCCTAGGGCCCCCATCTCAGGGGCCCCCTAAGAAGAACAGCAAAAGCCAAGCAATTAATAAACCCTAAAAATCAAAGTAATAACACTCAGTTTGTCTTTGAATCCCCTACCCCATTGCCTCTCTTAAGGGCCTCCTTTCAAAAGGGCCCCCCTTCTATCTCTATATGCAATAGGAAAGCCTTTTAAGGGCCCCCCCCCTTTTATAAGGGTAATACTGGCCCCCCTGAGGGCCCTTTTAGGGGGCCCCCTAAAAGGAAGGCCCATAGAAGGGGCCCCTTTAGAGGCCCTTGAGAGGGGCCCCCCGGAAGATCGTTAGGGGCCCCAATGGCCCCCTGCTGCACCCTTGGGGGCCCCCGGCTGCACCCCTGAGGGGCCCCCTGCTGCACCCTTGGGGGCCCCCTGCTGCACCCCTGGGGGCCCCCTGGTGCACCCCTGTGTGCCTTTATGCAACATATCTGTATGAATGTGCATCGGATGGGTCTCTAGCAATATACTCTCTATCAATAAGATTAGCTAATCTCTTTTTAATTAAAGACGCCTCAACAGGTGTTTTAAGTGTCTCCACAAGGGCAACAAAGAGGTCCTGATGGTGCAAAGGAGACTGTCTCTTCAAAATCCGAACAATCCCTGCATCAATCTGATGCGAAAAATCTGCACTCGCTGTCTCCTCCCCACTCGGCCCTTCTTCCTGTAACCAGGTGTACACGCAGCTATATATATATATATTATGTATATTATATAGATTTATATACTTATGTATATAAATATGTATTATATATATATGTATATTCATTTATTTATATGCAGATTAATTTATTTTATTTGTATAAATATAAATATACTTATATGTTGGGAACAGACAGAAAGAGGAGACACAAGGAGACAAAAGGAGACAAAAGGAGACACAAGGAGGAGCAGAGACAGCAAACAAACAAACAAACAAACAAACAAACAAGCAAACGAACAAACAAACAAACATATTGGGAGAGAAAAGGAGACACTTAAAGACAGCAGCAGACAGCAGCAAGGAGACAATAAAGGAGACAAAAGGAGACAATAAAGGAGACAAAAGGAGACAGCAATAAAAAGAAGAAATTAGTATAAAGAGACACACAAACCCTCCCTATGCGGGCTGCTGTGAGGAGACAGCAGAAAGCAAAAGAAATGAAGACAAACAAACAAATAAATAAACAAACAAAAAACAAAAATAAAGACAATGCATAGAGGGCGAGAAGGGCAAACAATGCACGAGACGAAGCTGCTGCTGATGGTTTAGGGTTTAGGGTTTAGGGCTTAGGGTTTAGGGTTTACAAAGGAGGTGCTGAAGGCCGGCTGTGCTACTTGTATGCGTTTGCTTGGAGAAGAAAAGGAGACATTTACTCGGTAGACTGTCTCCCCCTAAAAAATAAAAGAAGAGACAGCAAAAGAATTAACAAATATATAAGAGACAGAGACAGGAGACTGCATGCATACACTGCAGACTGCAGACAGAGACAGTAAAGGAGACAGAAACAGAAACAAGAGACAGAGACAGCAAAACGAAGCAGAGACAGCACAAAGGAGACAGCAAAAGGAAACAGAGACAGGAGACATCAAAAGGAGACACGGATAGGGGACAGAGACAGAAACAAGAGACAGAGACAGATAAAAAAGACAGCAAAAGGAGACAGGAGACAGAGAAGGGAGACAGAGAGACAGAAGA